GGCGACGGTGCGTGCTCGTTTTACGAGCCCAAACGAGGGTAAAAACTAGTCGGCGCACCTTTGTCCAGTTTCGATCTCGTCGGTGGAACGAGGTCGCCAGGGGGGCGCTCGGGCGGTTGCGCGATCGAGTTTGTCGCGTTTGTCGAATCGATCGCGTTCGATCCAAGTTTGCGTCTACATCCGCTCGGCAACGTTGACGACAACGACGACGACAACGATGACGATGACGAGTACGACAACAACGACTACGGCGGCGAACAGCCACGCGTGTAAAATCGTCTTTCGCGTTTATTTTCACCGGCTTCGTTTATTTTTGCTCGGATTGCCGTTTACCAAGGGTGCTGCTGCTTGTGAACGGCGTAGGGGCACGCGTTCGATAACTCGATGTTCCGCGCTGGTTCGGCTAAGTGGACGCGACCAGTCGATCGCGAGGCCAACTGTCACGAGCGTCATTCCGATTGCGCAAAGATCGCAGTTGTGCGCGCACGCGGAGGAAAGGTCGCTTTCACTGCGATGGCTAGCGCGCGAGAAGGAACGCAAAAGACTACGATGATCCATATATTTGGGATCTATTCAAAGCCGAGTTTTGGTAGTTTGCCAAATCTATTTTTCCGAGCGAAGGCGGGATCGCTTATTGTGCCCGTGCTAATTTTGTCGCGCCGTAACGCTCTCCATTCCGGAGGTGTGGGTGGTGCTGCTGCTTGCTCGATACTCACTACGAGAGTTTTCAATCGTTTACACGCGGCCAACATTCCCGTCCCCGTCGCCGACCAGTCGCCCTTCAGCCGAGCTTCGTGCATCGATTTTTCCAAAGTCCTCGCATTCACCAGCTACGTACACACTCGATGATATTCCGCGATCCTCGTGCCTTTCTCCGCGCATCACGATTCCGATCCAATAGGATTCGATCGTGAAATTCACGTTGAAAAAAAAAAAAAAAAGGTTTCATCGGTTGGACAGCCTAACGGAAACGACCGCCGATCGATCGCCATGGCTATTTCTATTTTTATCGCAACAGCTAGTTGCTACGTGAACGGAGGTTACCGCTTCTTCGACGGTTTAGCTTACGCGATAGCAGATTCTGCCGGGCCTCTTAAACTTTGTTCCCGTCGCGTATCTCTCTCGTTGCAGAAAAAAGATTCTCTTCTCTCTTCGTCGAGAATTCGTGTTCGCTTGCCTCTGCCCTTCCGTCCGCGAGACGCGCGGTGCAACGCGTACGCCAGCGAGGGTGTATTTTCCAGACGAGAAAATGCTTGCGGCGTCGCGTCGCGCTCACGTAGGAGGCGCCAAAGTTCGTGCACGCGTAAACCTCGTGGAAGGTACTCGCGGAGTTGCAGAAATCAGGAGGGGGTAGTAAACATAACCCAGATTCGTGAACGGTGGCATCTGCCCGAAAGGAAGCGACCAAGTGGGATACAACCGATAACCTAGCTTAATAACGCGTTATAAAAGTAAACGTTGATCCGTGCAAAGGTCATCCCCCATCTATTTATAAGCGGCTCGTCTCTTTTAACTCTTTTTCCAACCTGTCGACCACCTCTCGGTCTCTAATTTCCTGCATACGCGTGTACGTCGCATTTGCATTTTCGCGAGAGAGGCAAAACGCGTTCCTAGATCGTGCGCAATTTTTTCTCTTTTCTTTTCTTCTCTTTTCTTTTGTTTTTTTTTCTTTTTCATTCGTCCAGTAATCTCAGGCGACGGTGACCCAAGACAACGACGGCGACGACGATGGCGACAACGGCGCGATCACGATCGTC